GATTAGAAGAGTGCTGCGTCCACAACTCTAATAATGTATTTAAAACAGTGTTTTTGTAATTTAGTTATAAAACTGATGAGTTTCTGTAAATAATAAAACGGTGCCAACTGTTCTGATGCCTGTTTGTCCTCAGACTGACCTCAGACAGAGGACTTCCTGCTCTGCGCCCACTGTTCCACAACGTTCATTTTAAAGGCAAAGGACACGAGGTGAGAACTGTTAGTCTGGACCTCTTCTTTTAATCTGGTCCTGATCCGGTCTGATCCAGCCTCAGAACATCCTTTAATCAGAACTGAGCCTTCATCCTGAAGAGTCACACATGTTGTGTGTTTAACCTGTTTGTTGTTGTTGTTAATATTTAGTTTAGATGAAATGAGTCAACAGTGTTTGTTTCGGACCCGTCAGGCTGAGGACCTGCGCCTGCTGATGCTGAGGATGGAGAACTGGGCCCACCGGCTCTTCCCCAAGCTGCAGTTTGAAGATTTCATCGAGAAGGTGGAGAAACTCGGCGCCAAGAGGGAAGTTCAGGTGAGACGCAGCTGCAGCTGCTCAGGTGAGCAGATCCAGAGCAGGTTGTAACAGTTCCTCTGTCCCTGCAGACCTGCCTGAAGCGAATACGACTGGACATGCCTGTGGCGCAGCAGGACTTCCAGGACAGAGAGGGTAAGAGGAGAAACTTCTGCTCCTCTCAGCTCTCAGCTTCAACAGCAGCTTTCTGCTACGTTTACAGGTGAGGAGGAAGTGCCGCCCGAGTTTCTGACCTTCCAGGACTTTGATGTCTTCAGCGGTGAGAGCTCCGATAACGTGCACTCCACGCTGGCCCCTCCTGCTGCCAGCACCCCCTCCCTGACAGAGGAGCAGCTCAAACTGATCGAACTGAACCGACAGAGAGCGCTGCAGAGGAGGCTGGCTCGACTGCAGCCCACAGGTGAGACCACGTCCAGGTGTTCCACCTTCAGGACAGTCATTAGTGGAGGCTGCAGGTCCACCTGTACAGGTCTTAAAGGCTGCAGGTCCACCTGTACAGGTGTTAAAGGCTGCAGGTCCACCTGTAC